CATTTCATTTCATAACCTCCTTGATTTGTTGTTGTTTTCATTTCAGATTGGCAGTGTGACAGAGATGAGCTTATCTGGTAACCAAGAAAGGACAGAAATGGAGAAGAAGCGACTTGTTTGGAAAGTAGAAGGTTTGTTGGAAGAAGACACCAAGGTGGGGAGAGGTGGACCTGTTGATCCTACAAAATTGGTGGTGGAACTAGCACCAATGGAAATCCGCACCTTTGTCATCGACTTCAACCATCAAGCACTGTTTGATGCTTGAATGGTTTTTATGCTATATATATATATATATATTATCTATGGTATGGTACTTTGGTTTGGATTGGTTTGGTTGTAATAAAGTATATATATCATGTCATCATTACTACAAGGTTAAAACCCCAATTTGGTCCCTGAACTATTGTATAGACTCTTGATTTGGTCCCTGAACTAAAAAAATCCTTGATTTAGTCCCTGAACAAAAAAAATCCTTGATTTAGTCCCTGAACAAAAAAAATCCTTGATTTAGTCTCTATTGTTTACTGTTTTAACCCCATTTGGTCATTCCGTTCAAATTCTTGTTATGTGTTCTGTTAATTTACTGTTACATGATGACATGTCAATTTTTAAAACACGTGAAAATACAACATGACATCAAAATAATGATGTGGAAAAAAAAATAATCTGATAGAAAAATAAAAATTCTTTCTTATATTTTTTTTCTTCTCTTTCATTCCCTCTCTGCCCTCGAAACCGATCTATCAAACCCACGCTTGGGTTCATTCAAACCCAGGTGTGTGGGGTTTGTTGGAACCCAGCACACTTGGGTTTGAATGAACCCATGGGGTTCCAACATACCCAACACCTGGGTTCTTTGAAACCCAAGCGAGGGTTCTTTCGAACCCAAGTGTTAGGTTCTTAGGAACCCAGGCAAGGGTTCTTTTGAACCCAGTGCCTGGGTTTGATGGAGCCCACGCACTGGGTTCCTTCGAACCCAACAACTGGGTTCGAAGGAACCCAAGTGCTGGGTTTTATCGAATTAGTGGTAAAAAATTAGAAAAAATTTCTTTTTTTGTTTGTGGCTTTTGTTTGATGATGATGAAGAAACTAGCAAGGTAAGAGATTGAGATGCCTGATCTCTGGGTTCCTTCTAACCTAGCACGCCTGGGTTCTTAGGAACCCAAGCGTTGGGTTCGTTGGAACCTAGTGGCAACAAATTAGAAAATTTTTCTTTTTTTGTTTGTGGGTTTTGTTTGATGATGATGAAGAAACTAGCCAGGTAAGAGATTGGTTGAGATGACTGATAAAAAAAAA